CTCTTTTTTTAGAAATATACCGTCAAAATCTTCAACAATCTGTGAAGGATGGAGAGCTTAGTGATGCTGAGGTTAAATCACTCGAGAGGTTGCAAGTTATGCTTTGTATTCCTAAACAAACGGTTGAAAAGATCCACGAAGAAATATGTGGCACTTTATTTGAAAAGGTAATTAATATATACCATTTTCTTACCAATTTATGTAGCCATGTTTCAATTTGTTATAAATGAATAAAAATTCTGTATTTCAGGTTGTTAAGGAGGCTATAGCTGCAGGGGTTGACGGGTATGATGCTGATGTGAAACAGGCTGTTAGAAAGGCTGCATATGGTTTACGGTTAACCAGGGATGTGGCCATGTCTATTGCTGGCAAAGCAGTGAGTGTTTTTTTTATGGATTTGCCCTTGTTTATTTTTCTATTTCAATTTTCTAAAATATTATTTTTAACTGAAGGTGCGGAAAATTTTCGTAAGTTACATACAAAGATCACGAGCAGCAGGTGGTCGAACAGAGGCTGCAAGAGAACTCAAGAAAATGATAGCTTTTAACAATTTAGTTGTAACTGAACTTGTGTCAGATATCAAAGGAGAATCACCCGCAGAAGAAGAAGAAGAGACAGTTATGGCAGAGTTTAAACCTGTAGATGAAACAGAAGATGAAGAATGGGAGCCATTACAGACCCTCCGAAAAGTCAAATCTAACAAAGTCAACATGGGAAAAGCAGGTCAAACCGAAATAACCCTCAAAGACGACCTGCCCGACCGTGACCGAACCGACCTCTACAAGACTTATTTACTGTATTGTCTGACCGGAGAAGTGACCCGGGTCCCGTTCGGTGCCCAAATCACTACAAAAAAAGACGATTCCGAATACGTATTTTTGAAACAATTGGGCGGGATTCTCGGGCTGACCGATAAAGAGATTGTGGAAGTGCATAGAAGCTTAGCGGAGCAGGCGTTCGGGCAGCAAGCGGAGGTAATATTAGCAGATGGGCAACTGACCAAAGCGCGTGTCGCGCAGCTAAACGAGTTACAGAAACAAGTGGGATTGCCGAGTGAATATGCTCAGAAGATTATTAAGAATATCACGAGCACGAAAATGGCGGCTGCACTTGAAACTGCTGTGGGCCAGGGGAGGCTTAGCATACGGGAGATACGGGAACTGAAAGGGTCGGGGATTGAGTTGGATGTGATGGTGTCATTGAATTTAAGACAGAATCTCTTCAAGAAGACTGTAGATGATATATTTTCTTCGGGGACAGGAGAGTTTGATGAAGTGGAAGTTTATGAGAAGATTCCGGAAGATCTTGGAATTAATGTTGAGAAAGCCCGTGGTGTTGTTCATGAACTTGCACGGACCCGGTTGTCGAATTCTTTGGTCCAGGCTGTTTCGTTGCTTCGACAGAGGAACAGCTCAGGGGTGGTAAGTGTAAAATTCATTATCTTTGATAATTTGGATTGCTGAGTTTGTGATAAATATGTTTGGCTACCAATGACAAAATGTAGGTTTCTTCTCTGAATGACTTGTTAGCATGTGACAAGGCAGTGCCAGCATCACCATTATCATGGGAGGTGACTGAAGAGTTGGCGGATCTGTTTCTGATATATCTCAAGAGTGATCCAGCGCCTGAAAAACTGTCGCGTTTGCAGTATTTGTTGAACATTGATGATGCAACAGCAGAAGCGTTGCAAGGAATGAAGGATCGAGCACCACCAAGTGAAAGTGGCGGAGGAACCAGTGAAGAGGAGTTTGTTTTCTGAGAGTGTTTGTGACGGTTTTGTGAGTGATAGGATAGGTGAGGGGGCTATGAGTCTTGAGTATTTGTTTGTTTAATGTCTGTCACAATATAGATGTAAGACGTGTGTAGATTATGAAACTGGGTTTCCAGTGTTCAGTGATCTTAATTAATAAAAACGTCACTCGTAATTGGCTTCTTGATTGTTCAGAAAAAAGATGATTCATTAAGTGGGATTACTTAAATGTGGGTTGGTTTGTGTTACGTTTTGTTTTTAACTCAGTAATACGGTAGAATAAAAAATAGTAACTGAAAAAGAAACGAGGCAATCATCAAATACGTTGAAATGATAAAAAAATGTGTGAAGTGTTAGTGTACCAATAAATACGTACAATTGTCTATTTCGTATTTTGCTTAAAAATTAAATTATGATCATAACAAATATTGTATTTAATAATAAGTTTTTTTTTTGACCCGTACCCGTCCGACCCCCAAAACATCAAACAATTATTCGCGATTTCGCGGCTTGGAAAACAATTTGACCCGTCTGTGGCTCTGTGCATACTGAGCAGGCAAGCGTTTCAATCGCTTTTCTTCCTCGATCGGCTTTTACACCGGCGACTCCTCTTCCTTGACACGGCGGTGATATTCTCAACTGGTATGTTTGATTTTTTACGGTTTGTAATTGATTTTTTAAGCAGTGGTAATTGTATTTTAATCGGCTTCTTTCTCGTGCTGGTGCAGCTTATATGCGTTCGCCATGAACTATTTTAGGTTTTGTTAATCTCATCCTAATTCGTAAATGCTGAATTTTAATTGTATTATAATCTTGTTGAAAATTAGAACCTCAAATAGGTTCGAATGAATTTTGTAAGACGATGCTATCCAGTTGTTATTCTTCGTGTCAATGTGTTACCCGTTTGGAAATTATTTATTGTTTGCTTCAATCTTGAAATAAGCGTTAAAAACGCAGGGCATTTGGTAAATTCTTAACCAAGGAATAGAAAGCACTCCAAGTGTTTGTGATATTGCGTCAATGAGTTGCAAGTTTAAGATTATGTATGCTGTAAATGAGACTTTGAGCAGTGAATCTGAAAGAATGAAATATCTCACTTGTAGTTAGTCTGTTAAGTTCTTATTATTGGTCCTTCCCAAATTGTTGGTGACTAACATGATTGAGTGGAAATTTGACAGCCTATTATTGAGTTACTATGGGGACTGAAGGCCCTAAGGATTCACTGGACTGGAAAAGCATTGGTGATTCAGGTAATAAGAATGAGGCTGATGCTGGACCTGTTGTGAAAAAACGGATTCCAAAAAAGATGCGCCACATTCCAGACTACTATTTCCTCCCTCGTAGATCCATGTTAGCTAACATTGCAATTTATGGGTCCTGCATTGTTGGTGGGATTGGAGCTGGGATGCTAACTGAAATCTGGATTAACAAGAAAGTTAAAGGTACTCACTTTCAGTTCTGTTCAACTGCTACTTGTTATAGTTTATAATACTAAAGTATGCCCAACTTATTGCAGAGGATGGAAATGGTGTTTTATGGGAATTTGACAAATAAATGGCTGCCTGCCTTTGCTTTTGCTGCTTTCTGAGTTCTGATAGACAAAAGAAGGTATAATGGATAAAAGAGTACGGAGTTTTAGGTTGCCTGAGACATTCTTTTAGTTATTCGGGTTTTTACATATTCGTGGTTTTCTCAATATTATTTATTACCCCTTATAGTTTGTTAAGGTTTGTTTTGAGTATTGAAAAGGGAAAAAGAACCCTTATCTGAAGGATACCTGGATAGATCAACTCAAAAGTTAATTTAGTTGAGTTGTTTTGGATGATTCCTTAGCAGATTATGTTCTTAGTTGATTTTTAAACCTAAATAACTGAATCCATAACATCCATGGTTCACCTTGATCCACCCTTTTTGGTGGAAGAAAAATTGCAAATTTTGTTTCACACACGTCTCGGTCTAAATCCAATGCATGTAAAATGCTATACAAGCTGTCCTATAATAACAGCAAACATGGCCTTAAACAAAATACAATGAATCACCCACTTTTTTTTCACTATGTATGGAAGTATGGTGTCATAAATAGGGGTGGGGCGGGTACCCGTCCTAATTGTCTGGGTGGTTCCTAAAAATATAGGAACCATAACTGGTTCTGGGTACCGGGTACCTGTTTTGTTTTTGTTTTTATTATTGTTATTATTTATAATTCTCATTAAAAAGTAGATAAATTAGACATTACCATGTAAATAAGCCAACTACTAAAATCTATAAACATTGACCATTGAAAATTTACTGGACAAACAAAAATATGTGAGAGCTTGAGCTAACTTTACGAACAGAGAATATGAATGTACACGTTTTCAAACTTATAAATAGAAACAACCTTTAGAATTCTACATGATTTATGCATATTAACTAAAGCATATGAATGATGATTTGAATTTAGTGACAAAGAAACCATTTAAGTGGACAGTTAACATATAATCATAGATTGCTTACATACATTATCATGTACCTGTGTAATCACAACAATTATATAATTATTTAAGAGCCTAAGGTTTTGGGACAAAACAAAAGATGGAGGCCTGAGTCTTGATAATGGCAGTATAAATATTATTATTATTTTATTTATTTTTCAATTGTGGTTACCTTCCTTGGGTTGCTTGTTGCTGGCTAATCAGTTTTCGGAGGCTTGGGCTGTGCTAAATAACTGATTTACCTCTATACAATGGGCTTAGGTTGGGTGTTGGATTGAACTTTTTGGGGTTTGAGATAAAAACTTATAGTGACCCATTAAAATTCAACCTGCAATATAATTGCTAAATGCTAATGTTGTTCCAGCCATTAAGATATACTACGTTGTACTCCATACATCAAAGATGTTTGACTTCACACATATTGAAAAGAGTTTTGACCAATTATCAAATATCTAACGTACCCGTTTTAGAAAAACAAAATTGAGAAAAATATCTTCTTGTATTGCTTGGTCATATGCCAAATAATTAAATTTGAATAAGAATCTTCCTAGCAAAACAAATTTCCATCCATTCCAATAGGAAGTTTGTAAGTTATTTTATTTTCACACCCCATCAATCAGTCCAACAACTAACATGACGGAAATAAACCATATTGTTCCAAAATTCAAAATTGAAAAGACCCATATTATACTTATAGATTATAGATTCTCATGTCCTTACTGCTATTCAAGGACAACACATTAGGTTGCTAAGATGCTATATACATTACTCACCACTCACCAATAATCCTTGCATGAACAAACCCCATTCTTAAAATGATGAAACCGATTCCGATCCCTCATAACTATCTCCCTCTCATATACTTTTGATATAATCTTCATAGCATTATGACAATCATCACATGTCCTCAAATTCTTCACCACTCGTATCACCTTCCCAAAAGGAATCCTCAAGAGCCCAAAAGCAACCGCAATCCTCTCACTATGATACCCAACCGACATCTCTTTCTCTTCCTCATCTATATCATGCAACACACCACCCGTATCCGCCTCATAACCCCCTTCTTTCAATCTCTTCCCAATTTCAACCAAAACCCCATTTATCTCTTCAAATTCCGGATGCAAACTATCTCCCGCCACAAATTCATACACTACATTCTCCACCTCAATCGAACTCCAACCAGGTACCTTCTGAACCCCGTTTTCCATCATCAACTTCCGACACCTGTCCACATCTTTCCATCGACTCAATGACGCGTATAGATTGGAAAGGAATACGTAATTCCCGCTGTCATACGGGTCTAATTCCAACAACCGTTGAGTCACGTGTTCCCCGAGTTCGGTATCTTTATGAATATGACACGATCGAAGCAAACTCCCCCACACCACCGCGTTTGGCTTCAATGGCATTTTGGTAATAAGTTCCAATGCTTTCAAAAGTAAACCGGATCGACCCAAAAGGTCAACCATACATCCGAAGTGTTCAATTCCCGGTTCTATTCCGTAATCGGTTTCCATTTTTGAAAAATACATTTTACCTTCAGAGATTAATCCAGAGTGGCTACAACCACATAAAAGACCAATAAAAGTAACCCCATCAGGTTTTACACCTTCTTTCTTCATGGAAAGAAAATACTCAATCGCTTCATTACCATAACCATGCATTGCTAATCCTACAATGATCGAATTCCAGCAGTAAATGTTCTTGGATTGAAGTTTGTGAAAGACATCTACAGCATCTGATATACTTCCACACTTGGAATACATGTCGATAAGAGCATTTCCTAAAATAGCATCGATTTTTAGTTTGTTTTTCTTGATGTAACCATGGATCCATTCACCCATATCCAATGCTCCAAGATGAGCACAAGCGGTTAACAAACTAACCATGGTTACCTCCGTTGGCCTCACCCTCTCGTCTTGCATGTGGTCAAAGAAACGCAATGCTTTTAGAAACTCCTTATCCTGAACAAATCCTGCAATCATGGTGTTCCATGTCACGGGGTTTTTCACTTCAGTTTTGTGGAAAAGTTCTTCAGCATGATTAAGATGACCGGATTTGCAGTAACCATCTATCATTGCATTCCAGGAGACTATGTCTTTAACGGGATTGGAATCGAAAGTGAAGCGAGCTGATTCAATGTCACCTATCTTGGAATAGCAGGTGATCATGGAGTTCCAAGTGACTGAATTCTTCTCGTCCATACTGTTGAACAGTTTCTGTGCGTCTTTGACAAATCCATGCTTACTAAGTGCTGAAATCATAGCGTTATTGGCTACAATGTCTCTATGGGACATTTCATCGAACACCTTCTTTGCAGAACTTAAATCCCCGATCTTTGAGTAAAAGTCAAGCAACCCTGTTTGCAAAACGACATCGTGGTTGAAATTCCACTTTAATATCTCGCCATGAACTGTTTTCCCTAGTTGTGAGGCACAGAAACTGGCACAACAATGGAGAATCAAAGAAAGTATGGTTTGACTGGGACGCACATCACTAAATCGCATTCTGTTGTAAAGTGTTACAAAGTCTTCAAAGTTATCAGCATTATTCAAATAACCACATTTGCTATACCCATCGATCAACACATTCCAAGAGATCGTATTTTTTACAGGGTTTTTATCGAAGAGAAGCCGTGCAGAGTCGATATCACCTATCTTGAAATAGCAAGATACCATTGAATTCCAACTATAGGAATCCTTTTCCAGCATACTATCAAACAAAACCCGTGCATCCTCAATAAGTCCATGCTTCCCAAGTACTGAAATCATGACGTTACAGGCAACCACATCTCTCTGTGACATTTCTTCGAACACCTTCTTGGCAGACCTCAAATCTCCAATTTTTGCATAGAAATCAAGCAACCCGGTTTGCAAAACCAGATCAGAATCAAAACCCCATTTCACTACAACACAGTGAAACAATCTCCCCAATTGGGCATCACCCACTTTCGCACCATATTGAAAAATCGAAGCAAACATCCCAACGCTGGGGATGTTTGCATCATAATTACGACACCGCATCATCACATCATAACAAGTGAAGAAATCCCGCAGGTTATTAGATTCTAAAGACGTTTTAATCATGGATCCCCAGAGGGAAGGTTTTGAAAACGACGACGGTAAGTTATATACGAACTGTAACGCGTAACTGGGGTTACGAGAATGGTAGCAAGAGTATAAGAACGTGGTGATAAGGGGTGTTGAAGCGAGATGACCATTTGTGAGGATTAGACTGTGGATTTGTTGAAGTTGTTTGAGTGTTAAGAATTTACTGTCTAGAGTCGATAAGATGTAGCCGAGGTTGGAGTGCGGAGGTTTGCACAGAGGTAACATTACAGGTTCGATCTGCAAGCTCAATCTTTTATAGCATCATACTTTTATTTATTTCCATCAGAGAGCGGGAACCTTTCCCTCACCTCTGAACACAATACCGAGGGTGTGAGAATTGCAATGCAGGAACCGAGTGAGGGGAGGGTATTCATCTCTCTCCTTGTGTGATTGGTCAGTTTTTTTCTTCAGGTATATATATATATATATATAATATATATATATATATATATATATATATATATATATATATATATATATATATATATATATATATATACCAGGTTATAACCCGTGGAAACCACTGGTCGATATATTTAAAACTATTATAATAGATAAAAAAATGTCATCTTTTGCCTAATGTCGATTTTAGTAGTTAATTAAATTTTATATTTAATAAATAAAATAAATCAAAATGTTATTGTCCAAGTTTTAATCTACAAAACTTTTTCAAACATATTCAAACCAAAAATCAAAATCAAAAGATACTATTAATTAAATTTAGTTTCCAGATTTAAAATAGAGAAAATTCGTTAATCATGTCTCAAAACCACAAAGATTAACATCGACATTCAACTAATTTAAACATCACCATACACATTCTAACTAATTCAAATGAGGTTATATACCATCCAACTTATGAATACTTCCTTCCAAACAGTAACTCCTTTGCATCCCTACCCATATCCAAAAAAAAACTTTTTAGAATAAAAATATGAAAAAAAACGTAGTTAACCAAAGGTAGTCTAGTTCAAATACCATCACATCAAGACATTCCCAGTATACACAAACGACCCAATGAAAGTAAATATTTTGACAATGACATGCTAGCTTTCACCAGTTTTCGATACTCAGATACTCATAAACCCACTTATAGGGGTGAAAATGTATATCAAGTATAAATTGAATCACTTGAACATATATCCTTCTGGACTTCCTGGTATTAAACATGATGACAAATTGAAACACATATATCATTAGTGCCTCAAGAGATTACTAATTGAATGCTGACATGCCCAAAATAGCCAAAAATATGTTTGTTGATGCTTAAGTTAACAAAACACAGAACATACCACATCAAAAATAGAAGTTTGAATCATGAATTAGATAATTACAGTGCAGCCATAAACGTACTTTGGTCTTTTATATTTACTTGGGCAAGAATAGCAGCGTACTTTACTGTCTTTATCATGATTAGGTGTTAAAACCATCTTGAATTGTCTGCGACCCCAAACTTAAGAATCGTTTAAAAATGAAAAAGAAAAAAAAAGATGAATATGGTTAGAAAGATTTTTTTTGAAGAATCGATTAAAATGAATAACAAAAAACAAAACTCAAAAGTAAATTATTGTCAATTTCTTATTTTTACCCATATCTAGAAGAAACTTTATAGGATTTGGGATTCGAGACGTAAATAAGAGCAACTTCAACATCACTAAGAAAAAAAACATAGAGAGTTCATGATCTTTCTTTGGAAGCCCATTAATCACTTGAAAACAATAATCTATCAAACGTGAATTCACATAAATATGTATGTGGGATATATGATGGTTGAATATTTGAGCCTAAATCATATTGCCATTAGCAAACACCAATTCAGTAATAGAATTTCTTCTTATTCCCTAATTGTGGTTATAGCAACTGAATTGGACTACAGAAAAATATCCAAAGAATCAAAAATCAAAACACATAACTGGATGCCAACAAAATTGTAGCAAAAAAGAACGCTGAAGAAGGGATCCAATGACCATTCTTTAGATGGTGCAGAAGTGAAATGAAGAAGAACGATGAAAAACTACCAATCAATAGAAAAATCCACACGAAAAGTTGCAGAAAATAAAATTACCAAAATAGGAACAAATTGGCAAACATACATACCTCAAAGAATTTGGCATGGTGTTGCACCGAGAGAATGAGAGTCAACAACAGAAAAGGGGTATAAAGCACAATATTCCAGGTTAATTTGGTCGTTCTATAAATCTTAACACATACGCAAACTGTTGGATAGAAAGCACAATGATCGTGTAAGGGAGATGGAAAACAAACCAATTAGAATTGCAGGCGGCAAACGATCTACACAAATAAAAACTCTAAATTAGGAGAGATACACGAAAGAGATTTGATTCCTAATTTCTTGCGATTGCATTGATGATTTGAGAAAAATTTGGAAACCGATGAAGACCAAATTTCTTGAGTGGAAAACAAAAGAGCATGTTAACATAAACATGACACGTGGCAGAATAGAGTTTAAAAAAATGACAAGTGGCATATTCAGGTTTCTTTTATTAGAAGAGGTATATATATATATATATATATATATATATATATATATATATTAGGATTCATGGTTTTTAGTTCCTTATAAAAACGGGTATAATATTTATATAAAATATATATTATTTTTTAAAATAAAATAAAATAAAGATAGCGAAAGGTAGTGAAATATGACAATTTACTGCCTTTTGATGGGTGAAAGAAGAGTGAGGGAAAACTCACGTGACATTCAGAAAGTGAAAAAAATATTTCTTGAACATACCATGTGGTCTTAGGTTGGCCGGTATGGAGTGAAGTGTACGCATAAATTCCTATGTGGAACACCATTTCCACGCGTAAACACTGCCCCCAAAGGGCGTAGGTGTCTTGTGGAGTGGTGTTGATTACGCCTCCCGGAAGAATTACGAAACAAAATTTGAACGTTGTGGTGTTAAACGGTCAAAAAAGGACCGTTTTGTTGTTTTAAAAAAAAATCTTTAATTTTTAAAATATTTATTTTTTACCTATAAATACTATCATTTTCATATACATTTTCACACTACAAACACATTTTAAAAGATGAATAATTTGTTATCTTCTTCTTTTTCATCCGATGATGATCATGATGATTTGTTTAATCATATATTCATGCAAACATCAAGCGATATGTTGGGTCAAGAAGCTGAAAGTTCAAATGTCGAAAAAAGGACTAGAACTTCGATCAACAGGGATCAAATCGCGACAAACGAACTTCTGGGACGTGATTACTTTGTCCCTAATTATTTATACAACAAAGAGAATTTCGAAGAACGTTTTCATATCAATAGAAAATTATTCATATGTATAGCTAGAGATTTAACATATAATTATGAGTTTTTGCAATTGAGATGTGATGCTAGAGGTAAATGTGAGGCGGATCCTCCAATTCACATTTTTGGGACCACGGTTTTTTTGGTAACACCCATTTTTTGAGTTATACACCACCTTTTAGAGTAGATTTTGATACATTGTCAATGATCATTAGGTGTCATAATAGCCTTTATCTATTACTTCTTTTTCATATTGTTAGGATCATATGCTTTATGGTAAAATTCCTTAGACATTCAAAGAAGAAAGACAAGAAGAAAACAAACAAAAATAAAGAAAAAGCAAACAAAAAGAGACAATAAAAGAAGATTCACAGAAATGCAACATGTTAGGTCACATACTTGTATAGATTTGATGATGCAAAAAATATACGTTATAGTTATAGTTTATGATATGCTGATGGAAGTTCATATGTTGAAGACTGAAGAACATTCCCTGATGACTGAAAGACCCCTGAAGACACTATCAGCACCAAAGGCACGAAGACACCATTCACTGAAGACTGATTAGTGTGTCCATACGTTGAAGGTCATACACTGATGACACACTGATAAGGTAATACACTGATGACACTCGCTGATGGTCATACACTATATGCTGAAGCTGATCAATGGATGACTCCCTGACGCTGATGCTGATGCTTTGATCAGCATCTGATGTGTTGGTGCTGATATCTGAATCTGGAGAAGATTTGATCTAATCCATTCCTTATATACCAGATTAATTTATATTTAGATTAGATACAATCCCTATTGAATGGATTCACTAGAATAGATTAGTATATATATTCATGTATTAGGGTTAAACCCTAATCACGTCTGTGTGACAGTTTGTTTGACCTGTTCTCTTTGTGCCTCTTTCTTAGTGAAAACATCTTTGCGATATTATTTTGTTCTTCTATTGGTCTTTCTTGTTTATATTTGATCTACGAATCTACAAAGGGTTTGTGACCATCAATTGGTATCAGAGCATGCCAGAACATTCATTATAGGATCTATTGAAAATTCAGATGTAACACCTGTTCCAGGTATTATTTAATTTATCTAATTTTCAGGGTTGTGTGCATGGACTCGACGAGTTGGGGAGCTCTAACTCGTCGAGTAGAGATCATTATGAGGACGCGGATTTTAAATCCTACTCGACGAGTAGGCGCTGTAAAGGAAAACCCTAATTTTTAGGGTTTGCACCCTATTTGATGGACTTAATCTGCCTCTTGTGGCCTCCTTTACCACTTCATTACCCAGAGAAGAAACCCTAGCCGTTCTTTGCTGTTTCCTTGAGATTGAGAGGCTAAGAGAGAGTTTTTGGTGCACTTAGTTGAAGGAGTTTGAAGATTGAGAAGATTGGAGCAGGAAGGAGATTGTAGATCCAGCATCTACAACGTTTGGACACCCATTTGAAGGTAACAAGCTGTTACCTTGATCATTCTAGCATTATCCCCTTTTCTTGGGTTTTGGGGCCATTTCTAGTAGATTGGTGAAGCATTTTGGAGTGTTGGGTAAGATCTGGAGTTGCAACTTCAGATCTGGACTCCTCTAAGTCCTTGGAGTTATAAAGTTGCTCACTTTATCCAACTTGGGCCCTTTCCATGCACTAAAACCTTGGTTTTGATGTTTTAGCTTTGTGAGGCCTTGCATGCACGTAAAGTTTGCAACTTTACGTGGTAACTGCACCAGGGGAGGCTGGATCTGAAGTTTGGGACCTTAGATCCCACTGGAAAGGACTGAACACAAAAGGACTGAAGGAACTCGTCGAGTCCCTTAGTCGACTCGACGAGTGGGGTAGGGTTTACCCGTTTTCGAGATTCTGGATGAGTGCGGTGAAGGATTAGAGTTTTGTCCTGCGTGAACTTTTGGTCTTCTGGACATTTGATGAACTCGACGAGT